AAGACTTAGAGGAACGTACCTAGTCCGGAGTCCATTGTCTGCACAATCATTTCCAAAGTTGAACCGTGCACGTGGTGCATTCCCAAACATATATATATATACGTCTGGGAAAGTACCACATCCACGGTTTAACTTTGGAAATGATTATGCAGACAATGGACTCCGGACTAGGTGCGTTCCTCTAAATCTTCCTACCAATGTGACCCTGTTGCGAAAATAAGGTCAAACAAACTCTATACCACCTCGGCTATTAAATTTGTTCATTCTGCAGTTCTATCACAATGGGACCCATCTCTTAAATTAACTTTCTATCCTCTTTAAATAGCAATTATGATTTCAAGAGACTCTTTTCACTTCCGTTACGCTCAACTCACCAGACTCCGTACATCTTATCCAACAACTAAAAACACGTTTATAGTGAAGAAAAACTGGGCTTCGAAGAATTCCTTAATGCTATATTGTGTCATATCAATCCTTTTCGAAGAACAAGTTGGTTGGAAGGAATTTGTGAAATACTCTTACTGGAAACCGAATTAGGGTTGCCTATGAGCAAAATTGTTGGATTGTTCGAAGAAGCTTTCAGCTCACCGTTCTGCAACTCCGATGAAACTGTGCTAAGCCTTCGTTGGTACTGTGGCAGACATAATCAGAGCGAGAATCCAAACTTTACGAAATAAAGTAAAAATATACTGAGTCCAAAGAATATATTTAGCAAATTTCAGCTCTATTTCGTGGGGTCTAGCTTTTGGTTCTGAAGATTTCTATCCCCAAGGGATATAGGAAATATTAACACAGTTACATCATATTGGTAGGAAAGTGAGCGGAAAAATTCTTCGGACAATCAAGCAGTCTTCAATCAGCGGCAATCCTCTTTCGGTTTCTGGTGCGACCATTTCATGAATTCCTTCAAACCAACTTTTCCTTTGAAATGGAAAGTCATGTCACACTATTAAAGTGATTTGACCTCGTTTTATCTGGTCGACCTGGATGAACGTACATTGTCCAGAGTCCTCTACCATACTAGTCATACCTCTTTCTAGCTTCTGATCGTGGACTTGGTAGATCCCCAGACGGCTCGACAGCGGCGTAGTCAGCGTCGTCAGTAAGCGTTGCCATACTCAATACCAACATACAACTCGTCAGAGTGACACCGTCCTGGTGTTGCTACATTCGAGTTAATCGGCTAGTATTTCTCTAACTTGATTGCTCAGTTTAAGCGGGCCTTTATTTAATAATATTAAGTGAGTTAAGATATTGCCCTGAGTTGGTCAGTGAGTTCACGACGATCCTATGACTCAACTATGATGCATACTCGAGAATTTCGTCATTGAGGCAAATTGGCCTTCTTATATGATCTACAACAAAATCTTCCGATCTAATTCTTAGTTTATGGCCTAGATACTAGATTTAGGCAGATCAGCAAGAAGCAAAATTGGCCGTTCTCCTCTTTGTCAGTCGATCTCAGCTCCCATTTTCGTATCAGGCTCTGGATACCACACCACAGAAAATAACAATTGCTGTGTGCCAGTAAGAAAGTTACGCCTCGCTGTGTTGTGTTGACCTCAATCTAATGAATTTTAAGTCTTAGTGACCTTATAAAGTGAATTCCAATGCAAGCCTCATAACTTTTATCAATTGTGGAAAGGGTTTATATCAGAAAGAAGTTAAAACTAGCCAACATCTGCAGCGATCAGGCTCCTGATAATTGCCAAGGAAACCGCTACTGTTTACACAACCGAATGTCAATGGGAGCCAATTTATGCAATTAATGTAAAGTGAATGCATCCAGGACCTATGCATATTAGATCGGTTTCATTCCGTTAAACGACACCGAACTTATTTCCCTCTGTCCCGATAACTTTGTTTAAACTTCGTATAACAACTAACTAGACATTTTTTATGTTGACATTTTGATCGTCGTTCCAACCTTCATTGCACTTTTTTTCAGAATTCTTGACTAATTACTTACTTTCGATTATTTGTCTCTTCAACCAGTAAGAAGATTCGTCCACTTACAAGCCGCATTAACTGTATCTCGAATCAGAGATCGAGAGCGAAATACTTTAGATAAATAAATAAATAATAAAATACAATAATCCTCCGCCAATACTCCTAAAAAAACCCTTTCGTACTACGTGCGAACCTTGCAAATTGGCTTCCTTTCTTACTCTCCTCGTACTTCAATAGCGTCGACCCTTAGTCCTACTCGGGGCAGTTATTACACATTTTTGTTATGGTTGCTTCACAAGGTTCATCTAACACAATCCATTTATTTTGGTCTCGCTCTTCATAAGCTAGTCAGAAGTGGCTTAACATTATGTAGAACTGGCCGCGTTGTCAGAATGACATAAATGAACTCACCTTATCCAGAGTCCCCTGCCATAGTATTTATGCCAATTTCCGGCGCCGGACCGTAGACTTGATACATTCCCAAAAGTTTTGCAGACAGCCTAGTTGGCATCTTCAGTGAGTCTTGCGATTCTCAGCACAAAACTGCAATTCGTCAAGAGAACAAGTGAAGTCCATCACTTGGCCAAGTTTCTGCTGAATGATTCTGGTATCTCTTCTCCATCTGTCCTGAAAAATCTACCAACCCCATATTCCTGTATCTATAAGATATGAGGATACTTCACCTATGCTAGAGAAGGAGTGCGATACTACGGAGAGGGGTTGGTAGATATTCCAAGTATGAACGAGAAGAGATACCACAATCGTCAAGGTATGGACTTCATTTATCTCTTTGATGAGTTGTAGTTTGGCGCTTAGAATGACAAGACTCATTGACAATACCAACTATTTTTCGACAAATCGTGTGAAAATCTACCGAATCCACGGCCCGAAGCTGGAAATTAGCATGAATTATATGGCAGAGGCCTCTTGACAAAGTGTATTATTCTATGTAGCCCGACAACACGCCCAAGTTGCGGAAACGAGGTCATACCACTCTCAGATATCGAGAGTAGACTGCGACCAGAATAGACCACGGCATCTTGGTCTTCATATCTCTGATTGAAAACACTATTTACTCATCAGATTTCGTTAGATCTATTTATATTCACAGCACCAAATTTATTTCTGTAGCTTAATCTCTTATTCTATTTATTTTTTTGGTAGAGGATAGATTATCATAATAAACCAAGTTTGGGCTTAACAAGCTACCAAGAATTTTACAATATCTTGGATCTTATGCTAGACTTATACTCAATTTCAAGTTTGTTTTTATGAAAAGGCTCGGAAAGTTCGAATGTTTGTGGTGCAAAAAAATTCGTACTAGCAATTAAGTCCTGCATATGGTGTATTTTTGCTTAGTCTTATTGAGAAATAGAGGGCTTAGTATGTTGCAGTTCTGATATATAAATTTCTCACAATTAAATGAGTAGACTTAATGATGTTATTGAATTGGACCTGGTCTTTCCTCTTAAAAAGGTTTATCATTCAGACTGAACCTCAGTTTCAACCTTGTCTGGCTCTGATAAATTTTTCCAACAGGATTTAAAACCGGTACCTGCGTGTCAAGTAATACAGTAACCACTTCACTATACAGCCGATGTTTCCCTGTTGACACACGCTAGATGTGGCTTATCTTCAAATCTAATTGATAATGCGAATGAGGTTGAGATTAAGGCGAAATTACAGTCGAGTGGAGATGAAAAAGCTTTATGGGAGGCAAGATTATGTGAAGTTTAGTGGTATCGCAAAGTCTTCTCATTTTGTTATGGGAATGCTACTTTAGATGACTAAAGTTTATACTTAAGATTATCTTATTATTTCGAAGGATACTCACGTCATATAAAGTTGGTCTAACTCCGTTTTCCCAACTTGGCCGTATTTACAGGAAAACCTATTCTGTTGTGGACGAGGGTTCTTACAGGTCAGACATTTCATATTGTTGCTTCAAAGGATATTCGCAAATATGCCACTTTTACGAATTATAACTTAGGGCAAGTGAGAAGATTACTCACTAGCGATGCCTACAAGGATGCATAAGAAATACGAGATAATTTACCTGGTCAACGATCCTATGTTGGAAGGTAATAATGGCAACCTGCGAAAATGAGATAAAACCAATTCTATGTAGCCAGAGGTTAGTGAAGCCAGACCAAATGCCATACCATACTAGTCTCCATATGTACGGACCAGAAAAAGGTTATTTTGACTAGTTTTCGACCCAAAAGAAAAAAGCAAATATTTTAGATTAATAAAAATGGAGGTCCACAAATAGTAATCTAAATTTTGCATTAAATTTAGCTACAATAATTAGTAGTAATTCCAATAACAGTTCTCAAAATCACCTTTAATGATTTAAGGTAACCAAGTTCTTATTCAATAATCAAGGATAGTTTCAAAATATATGCTTTTTTTTACATCAGGCAGCTTCTTGACAGGGAAAGGCTGCATAAAGAAATGGTATTGCATACACCATATCT